ATCAAGTATAACAGTCCTGTTAGCCTGGGGGCCCTGGATCTGGGCATGGGAAGAAAACTGCAGGATTGGTTGACAGACTGGGATAAAGATGAAAACCTGCTGAGGAAGCTACAGCAAGAAGGGGCTAATGCTACTATAGTCATATACCATGATCAGAACAAAATAAGGCAAGTGGAGCATCTACTGGAAAAGGATGCTAGCGGTTATTGGTGGGAAACTTTATTTGGTTATTCCAGTAAGGCCAAGGGGGTTTTGAATTATTTAATCCATCCGATTGTGGTATTACTCATTCTTGCTGTGGTTTTATCACTGGTACAAGTATATATGTGTTGTTGGACCAGAAATTTATACACAAGGATTTCGAATATGGATAGTAGAGTTGGAGGACAGATTGACAGTAAGGTCTTGGAGGCTTTACTGCCAATCAGGTGTCCAGAACAGCCCAGAGTATGCCAAAATTGTGGCAGGGCAGGCCATGATGAGCGGGCTTGCATGATCCCAAGCCGTGCTTAACAAAATGGGATATAGGGGATGGAGATTAAAATGTAAAGTTCAGGTGATGGTTTCTCCAAGGACAGGATTTGTCACTTTTTCTATGGGAGTATGTAAACATTTTTTTTTATTTACTATGTTACTGTTTTTGTCGGTTAAGGGTTAATGCTGGAGTGAAATGTATTCATTTTTATAATAGTTGCAGTCAGTCCATCCTCTGGGTGCTAGGTCTTAAGGTTGGTTTGGAACTACCATTTAGATATTCTGAGTGAATGTTGGAGAATGAATGGATACCCCTTTGCTGTTTGCCCATATCGCAGTCCCCTACGAAGTCGCCTGAGAGGAGAAGGCCAAGAAATAGCAACGTGGAGATCCTTTATGGAAAATGGCTGGACAAAGCGGCATATGTTGGAATGTACAACATTTTCATGTACGAAAGCTGCCGAACAGCTATCTTCAAATCTTGATGGCATTGCTCATCAAAGAGACCAACTGTGTGTTGTTCAGGCCTGCAGGAGGCATGGCAACGGAGATGATCAAGGTAACATTCCTTCATCTGGACAAGACATCAAGCTTTGCACCCTGTGGTGTTGATAGGAGTGTATGCGCATTGGGAAGACACACTCAAGATATCCTACTTTGCATATGAAGGTGACTGGCCATGGTCTAAAGATCAAAGGACAAGGTGTTGACCTAGGCCAAAGGAATGATCTGCAGTACGATGGTGCCCCCTGCTGGAGGACTACAGTGCATGTGGACAAATATGAAGGACCATGCCGATTGGCCGAAAGACATTTAAGGGACATGCGGAATTCTGGGTAAAGGGGGTGTCGATGTATGTGTATGAATGGGTATAAAAGTCCGTGCGAAGCAATATTGCTCTCTCTTTGAGCCCAGCCAGGATATAGGAACCAGAGGAAGGACTTGCTGTGTAAAGTATTCTCTTGATTGTCTTAATTGTACTTTTGTATCTGTTTGTATTTTTTATTATGTTTAGTTAGATTTGTGTATAAATAAATAAGACCATTGCTTCTTTTAACCATTGTATCGTTATCATCATTGGAAGCAGAGAATAGCAAGTTGGCGTATTTCAGGAAGCCAAGGCAATTTAGTTATTACAGATTTACGGTATCGGGTCCTGGAGAGTGTGGACTTGTGAAGCAATACTGCGGCCAGGTCCTCCGACAAAGTGATCCCCGTGAGTTGCTTAGTAATCCGAAGGACTGCATCCCAGAAACTCCCCAGGCTTGGACATGACCAAAAGATGTGTAAGATAGAACCGTCCTCCCGCCCGCATCTCCAGCACAATGGAGAGGTCTGAGGGAACATTTTGTGGAGCTTGGTGGTCTTTAAACACTTTAACAACAGCTGCTCTTGAACATTTAACGAATTCTGCTGTTTTGCTGATACTCGCTCCATGGCTCCGTGCCAACAATCATCCCACATTCAAAGGCTGTTAAATCTCGTTGTTTACCCATATCTTCAGAAAAAAAATCACTTCTACTGTCGTGGTAAACAACCTGTTTCCCTATTTACAATAGTCTGGCCCTCTAGCAACTTCAGCGCAAAATTAAAGCTAATTAGCCTACAAACATCAGGTGGTCATAATAATGTGGCCACTCAGTGTATATATAACGGAAAATTGTACACTTACCTATCGGTAATTTTCCTTTCCCGACGCCGATACATGGCAGCATACGGGTATGGCTCTGCGCTCAGCCCAATTGTATGCTGCCATGTGGGTGTCAGGAAATTATATATATATATATACACACACACACACACACACATACATATACAAACACACACACACACACACACACAAAGACACATATACACAACAGGGATGTGAAATTCCTATCGCCCAACGCCCGGGACATGCAGTACTGGGCCGGCTGTTTTTGTTTTCTACATTTAGCCCTGCTGCAGGCTAGAAGAGCTAAATTCAGATCAGGGAGCTGCTGCTTTTAATACAAGTGATCTCAGATCACTTATAAAAAATGAGTAGTGATCTTGTCCGCCCTCCCCCACTCTTCTGGGGGACCCGGGACCACGGCAAATTAGCTCAGGATGGAGAGCGGGGAGCAGAGCGAAGAACGATCGCTTTGTTCTCTAAGGAGTTTAACAGCTGAAGCACCTCAACTATTATGGTCACGTCTGATACAGATTCTTAATTCTTTTATCAATTCCCTCTTCCAAACAGCAAACTAATACATTTCCAAAGTCTTTCTTTCAAACCTCTGAGGCATTAGTGGACACACAGCTATACAGATTTCTATGTTCCCTATTTGTTTGAAGTTACTTTTGTGCTGCAGAAATGCTTGTTTACTTCATCCAGAGGCCTGACAAGCTGCATCTGAGTGAAATGACTGGGGAGTTTCTGTCTGCAGCACAGAGGTAACGTTACACAGGTAGGGAACATGGAAGTCAAGCCGTGGAGAGACTAATCTCTGCTCTTACTTCATTTAAATAAAGAAGAGCAGCTCTAGTGAACAGCGTTTTAAGTGCCCCAGTGTCATAGCTCCCCTAGAGTCATTGATGTGAACATGGTTTACTTTTCTCCTGTATTAAAATGTGACAGAGCAATGGCTGATTCTGCTGGAGTGATGCTGTTCTCCTGTTACTGACCAAACACCCATCCACAGAACCTCCATCACTCCCAAAAGCCAACCTTTGGACAGAAAAAAAGAACTCTCTACAGCAAAGGCTCTGACTTCTGGATGCAGTCTGTTATGTAGAAAGCTTACCAAATTTAAACTGATTGGGGTTTTAAATTTTAGCACAGTTTCAGTGTGTGTCCAAAAATATTGATAGCTTGCTGATTGATTTAAATATTGCGTGGAAGTGGAATTAAATTTGAACAACTAAATACATTTAGGGGAAAAAAAGGTTGTAAATATACCTACCCAGGCTTCTACCCATGGTGCCCAGGCTAGGGTGACATCATAGTCTTTTTGGCGAGATCCCAGAAAATACAGAGCACCTAAATCTCGTGCTCCTGTACTGTGCTGGAGTATCCTCTCAGAAGGTATGGGATACTCTGTATGGGATATTTACTATAATTTTTCTCTGCAGGTTTATACATATTTGCCCTTCCCATTTTTGTTTGTAGGCACTTGAACAATAAAAAGGATGTAATTTGAAATTACTTGCCTGTAGATGTTTAAATTTGGCACTCTCACGCGCCATTTATCCTCTTCACATGAACATTTTGTGAATAGCTTAACCATGTGAACAGCTTGTTTTCTAGTAGAGTTACATAGTAAGGTTAAAAAAAATAAAAATGTCCATGAAGAATTCAGTTGTGTAGTACAACAGGGAAGGGTGGAACCTTTAGAGTGTAGGCTCAAATTATGTGTTGCAAAATTCCGCTGTAAATAGTGGAATGAATACGACTGTCTAAAAGAATCTGTAGTTGAGAGGCTCGAACAGCATCTACCACATCAAGACAGCGGAGAGAAATCTCCCTGAAATGTTTTAGAGCAGGACACAAAGAGCAATGTCCTGGGCATGGTGGTAGGAAGAAACCACTAGGAGGCCTTAGGCCTCAAAACAACCCTATTCCGGTGTAACATTAGGAATGACTCTTTACAGGATAAGGCTGTCAACAGGATAATGGCTCTTTACAGAATAAGTCTTGGCTTACAGAGGTGATAGCAATGAAGAAGGCAACCTAGTGATGGAAGTTACTTAGTGGAATATCTCTAAAAGGATCATAGGAGGGCTTCTGAAAGCCTGACAGAACCAGATCCCACGGCCTCATGGGGAAAGTACAAGGGGAGCAGCGTGAGCGACAACCTTTATTAATGATTTCACTTACTAGTGGTCTTTAGAAACGGATTGCAGGGGTAGAAACCTGACACTTGATGGTAATCATAGTCATAACACTGAGTTAAACCAGACAAGAGAAGGACAGGATGCATTCTATGAAGTACTTCTTGGCATGGAGTGTCCTAGCCTCACACCAAGCAAAGTACAGCTTTCAAGTGTGATAACAGATAAAGTAAAAAGTCGATTTCCTAGCCTTCAGGAACATAGGGATGACTGAATCTGCATAACCCTTGTCCCTCAAGACCCGAGTTTCACCAGCCAAGCCATTAAAGTCAACAACCAAGAAGCAGGATGCACACAAGAATAGTACGGACAGCGCTCTCGGATTGGGCCTGGGGAAATGGATTATGTAACTCTACCTCGCCTGCAGCCCTGGGAGACAGGAGGAGTACCTGCACTTGTAGAACAAAAGAACAAACGTGAGGGCGCAAGGCTAAAGGGGCTATATAACTAAGTTAAACATAGTGAGAGAAGCGAAAGGAGATGGAACACTTACTTTGAGTGGGTCTCGGGACCAAATGAGTACAGGACTGTGGAGAAGATCGTGAAGTCCAACGTGTATAATCAATGAAGGCTGGTATGTTGCCTGGGGCTGCTTATCTCAGGGAAGAGGAGAGGGGTGGACGGAGGTGCGGGTAGTGACACACGAAATGTGTCCGTGTCCCCACTACTGTGATGCAAAGTGCCGGCGATGTGTTGAATGGCGTCTGGCTGGGCTGCTGCAGCTGCGAGTGGAAGGACTCGAACTGTGTATGAACCGTGACTAGACCTGTGCCCGTACCGTGGTGATGATGTAGGATGGAAAGTCGGCCGGGATAGTGATAGAGTGAAGAGTGGTCAGGTCAGTAAGGTCGTGGGTGGATGCTCGGGAGCAACGCGTTTCGAAGATGTTACCTCTTTATCAAGCTCAATAGGAATGGTATAACGGCGGCGGGAAACCGCCGATTTAAATGTGACAGCTGGGCGGAGTTTGGAGGCGGTGAGCGGCACAGCCGCGAGTTGAAGCTGTTCAGCCTCAGCGTATGTTTGCGGGTTCCGTGTGTGCCTTGAATGTGGGGATGGAGAGAATTAGAAGACTGTGAATAAGGCATTTTAGGGAAACGAAAATCAATAGTTTATTGTAAAAACCAGAGTATGGGCATCGAAACCCTGAGTGGTTCGTTATAAAAAGACATGATAATTTTTAGTATGGAAAACGATCTTTTGAGTCAAGAGGGGATGAACAGGGCATTCGATAAAAGGGTTAAAAGGTTCCGTGGTAATGTGCTAAAACTGTGACTCCGAGTATGCATGTGGATACATGCATAAATATGTACAAAAGGAGGGGCTATTATATATTAATAACTTGGAGCCTATATTGAGGGTAGTCTGTATAAGGAATGGTTTATTTATTATTCATAATATAAAGGTGAAGAATTTGGGGGTAACAAAATACAAAATATATAAAATAATATAATTTAAAAGATTGTAAGATTTAAAAATGTATGTCAATTATGAAAATAGTAAGAATTAAAATGTATGGGGAAATTAAAAAAAGAAATGGGAAGATGGAACAAGAGCACGCAAGTGGTCTGGTTTCTGTATAAGCATGCGGCTAGGGCTGATATTAAGTGCCTATATGAGACCTGTGCTCGTGGTAATGGACACGGGATATATAAGAGAGGAGCCAATTAAACCGTGTGTCCAGAGCCCTAAGTGGGCCTCAATGGGTTATAAAATGGTTAAAATTTCCAATTCCTCGTTTAATCCTGTTGGAGACAGCGTATTGAGTTTGTAAAAATTTCCAATTCCTCGTTTAATCCTGTTGGAGCAAGCGTATTGAGTTTGTAGATCCAAAAAGTTTCTTGTCTACATAACTTTTGGAAACGCACGGCTGGGGAAAAATGGTCAGGAATGTGTTGCGGATACTGTTGCCAAAATATTCTTGGATCTGCAAATTTGATATGGTATAAAAGTCAAACTTAGAAAAACCTCCTCTTGCCTAACCACTACCACTGATAAATGTCATGTGGATCAAATTTCCTTTAAATGTACCATATGCTTTAATGTTGCGGTTAATATTTGGATAACTGAGATTACGCATGACAAAAGCACTACATCTCTGCTTTCTACCTTTTCAATTTGTAGCACTGTTTTAAACTTTGGATTACAAAAAAGAAAAAATCACAATAAGAACATTAGAATTTCTTCACTATATATACTATATACACACATGCAGTGTTAATCTTAAGATATCTCCATCTTCATGGCTCTGAAAGAGAAAAAAATAAAAAAGGCAACTACTCCCCCATTTTATCTTTTCTAAACACACTCAAACTTTCTAAAGGTGCCCATACACTGCTCGATTCTTGTACGAGAACCGCGGGAAATCCCGCGATCGTACGAGAATCGAGCAGTGTGAACGAAGACGTGCGACCGTTTCTACTGTACGGTCGCACGTCTTTTGTCTAAAGAGCACGCTAGAAAACCATCCAAAAATCGTACGATTTTTAGGCTGGTTAGAACGGTGCTCGGGAGACAAATGCCGAACTGGCCGGTGTGCGCACGCGCACACTGCCCGTTCAGCATTGCGGTCATCGGAAGCCCGCCCCTCAGGGGGGCGGGCTTGCGATGATCGAGAGTACGATCTGCCTGTCCAAGATGGGCAGATCGTACGTTTTTTTAATAACCCACTAATTCCCACTAATTATTAGTCAACAGGAGTTGACTAGTTTTCCTTAACCACTTGATGACTGGGGTGTTAAACCCCTTTCTGTCCAGGCCATTTTCCAGTATTCAGCACTGCAGTACTTTGACTGACATGTATTTTAGTGGTATTTAATTACCACTGGGGTTTTAATTTTTTTAACTATATCATTTTAAAAAAGTAGCGCAAATTTGGAAAAAAATAAAAATAAAATGCAAACTGTTTTCCCTACATTATGTTATAAACATTTATTACCCAAATTTTTGGCAAAATGTAAAAGATGGGGTCATGTCGGGTAAATAGACAACATGTCAAATTGCGTGTGCCCGCAAAAAACTACCATACCCAAAATTTCCCATAGGCGACACTTTATAAGATTTTACTGCTCATCAGTTTAGTGTAGGGATGTCCCGATACCACTTTTTTAATACGACGTACAAGTACTTTGCCTCAGTACTTGCTGATACCGATTACTGACACTTTTTCTTAAAGGGACATGTGACTTTTTCCTAAAACAATACAGAATAATGATTTTAGGGCAGTTACTTTATATCTCTGAAAAAAATAAACTAAACCTATTATTGTGGAGCTAAAGAAATATATACAGTATATTGCCATAAAGTATACTCAATATATAAATAATTTGGTGCAATACCAAATGTATAACAAGTGTATGCGTGTACAATAACTTCTTCAAAGTAACAAACAATAAAAAAAATCTGAACAATTTCAGTTAGTACAATTCAGTCCCAATCTGAATCAGTAACTCAATCTCCAAACAGTCTGTATCTTTATAAAGGCAAAACACCATGTGCTCCAATACCACACTCTGTGTGTAATGATCACTCGCTTCTCCCACACACGAGAATATTCCTGCTCCATAAGGAATGGGCGAGAGACAGGAGAGCAGGAATATTCATAGGTGTGGGGAAAACCGAAGGATCATTACACACAGAGCCACAGCATATGAGGATAGTCTCTGCAGAACGTTCGAACCAGCGCATAATAAGCAAGTAGGGAAAATGTAAAGTAACTCATCCATTGTTGCTCACATATAAACAGGTGTGTTGTCATTCACATATAAACAGGTGTGTTGTCAGTCACATATAAACAGGTGTGTTGTCACTCACATATAAACAGGTGCGTCTGCGCAGTGCAGGGGCTGGCTTGTGGGAGGCAGCACTGTGAGGTCCCTGGAGTTCAGACTCCAAGCCCAATCTCTGTGAATAGCTTGTGGGAGGCGGCAATGAGAGGTCCTGGAAGGGCTACGACTCTGATCCCTTACTCTCTGGCTGGCTTTTGGGAAATGGCACGGTGAGTTGACACGCAGGTGAAGCTATGTATCGGGGCATTTTCATGGGTACAAGTACTCGTGAAAATGCCCTGTATCGGCCCCGATACTAGTATCTGTATCGGGACATCCCTAGTTTAGTGTCAACAGTAATTAATGGCCCTAGAATTATTGCCCTCACTCTGATGCTCGTGGTGATATGTTATGTGCGGAGTAATCGTTGTTTTTGCACTTTGGCGCACCCAACGTGTATTTACGTTGATGTACGTGCACGTGGGGGCAGGGGACTTAAAATTTATATTGGGGTTTTTTTACTTTTTTGTGACTAATTTTTTTGAACTTTTTTTTAATTTTTTACACTTAACTTTATTGCTATCATATTAGGGGGATAACAAGCCCCCTATGTGATCGCAAAAATACAATCACAGGTGCTCTTTATGGAGACATCAGGGGACTCTAAGACCCCTAGTGTCACCTAGGGACCCCCAAAGAAGCTGATGAAGCACAGATCTGGCTATAGCAGCCAGAGAGATGACAGCTAAAGGAGGAAGTGATGTAATACACAGCTTAGGGGGCGTGCGCGAGCCGGAACAAAAAAAAAAAGAAGGCGTATAGCTACGTCCACCCGCTTTTTACAACAGGTAGACGGCAAGCGGTTCAACGGAACAGGCAGTTTGTTTTACCTCCTGAATACATTTTTACTATAAAAACCTTAACTGATAGCATAGTCAAACCCATTATTGTTTTTGAAAAAAGTTAACCATTCATCAAGAAACTGAAGACTTCAAAAGGTGTCCGCTACTATCTTAAAAAAAAAAGTGTGCAAACTAGATTTAACCATGATAGAAAAAACAAATGGAAGGTCCAGATGCACAGCTGCGCAAGTAAATCAGAATCTACAGTATAGAAAACAGATAGGTGCTCATTTAGGTACATTTTTAAATTATTCTGCACAAAACATTGGGGGGAATTTATCAAAACCGGAGCAGACAAAATCTGGAGCAGCTGTGCATGGTAACCAATCAGCTTCTCTCTTCAGTTTGGTCAGTTAAGATTTAAAAATGAAAGAGAAGCCGATTGGTTGCCATGCACAGCTGCTCCAGATTTTGTCTACTCCAGTTTTGATAAATTCCC